TTGCCAATCGACGAAAACCCAATCCCGATGGCAAACACCGAGGGGGGGCTAGTTTCACACCGTCGTTGCTAAGCGACGAACACCCAACCCCGATGGCAAACACCGGGGGGGGCGGCTTGTTTTACAACGTCGTTGCCAAGCGACGAAAACCCAACCCCGATGGCAAACACCGGGGGGGGCGGCTTGTTTTACAACGTCGTTGCCAAGCGACGAAAACCCAACCCCGATGGCAAACACCGGGGGGGGCGGCTTGTTTTACAACGTCGTTGCCAAGCGACGAAAACCCAACCCCGATGGCAAACACCGGGGGGGGGTATACTGGGTGGGGGGGGAGATAACAATACTCAGATAACTCAAGAGCACCGCGGGTTGTTCTCAACGGTAGGGGGGAACCAACAATATTTCAAAAATACAGGGCATTCTCAACATGTTTAGTCCGTTAAGTGTATCCCCCGTGGAATTGCGCCATGTACCAAAGGTCATGTCCCACCGTAGGCGCAGCCTTACCCTCTTACATAGGTGAGATCCCCGTTTGGACTATCGCTACACGGACGTGTTCTTCGGCCGGGTGTTCTGCCCCGTGGAATTTCCCGATGGAAATATCTGCAGCGAAACGTACGTATACGTGGGTGGGTAATACCGCAGGAGACAGGGAAGGTGAAGACCGCAAGCATATCGCCCATGGTGGAGCAATCATATGCCTTTTATTCTGCTGGGCGGGCTGTGCATGCACAAGTACTGGGACACCGACAAGGACACCTACCACAAAGCAATGTGAACCTGCATCCAGCGGATTGCCTTTTCTGCCTCGCGACAAGCCGCTGTTAAGGAGGACCCGATTCGCAGGGTATCCGTCGATTGACTTTTACCTGATTCGGTACACCTTTGCTATGGCGTCAGCTGGATACTGTGTCGAATCTCCTTGCGTGCCTACTTTTTCTCCTGACTTCGACATTTTCCCATGGACACAATGTGTGTCAGTTCTGATATCACCTGTTGGAGTCTAACCTACAAAGAACCTTGTGACACTTCCATCGAATTACCCATCCTGGTCACAAGAGGTTCCCAGTTGAGGGTAAATTCTGTCGGTGCAGAGTGATAAGGATGACCCGATTCGCAGGGTATCCGTCGATGGACTTTTACCTGAATCGGTACACCTTCGCACCGCAACGATAGACACGCGTGAAATTAGGAAAGGCCTAGGACCAAAGGAGCGCTCCTCCGTGACCTCGGGAGGCTGGTCGATTCACCTCCTTGCTCGGTGATAGTAAACAGAGTGCAATATTTCTCTTGGATCTCCATCTCTCACTGCTTAGTATATCAATATATATTTATCGCTCTTTCTCGCCCTCTTTCGCCTTATCTCTCTCTCTGTCTTCCACCATCCCTTACCCCAGTCAATATCTAACCACGAAGGTGAACCCCTATCTTACCAACATTCATATCTTCGAACATGTAGGTGTCTAAAGGCATCTTCCCGACCATGAACCGCTACTACCGAGGTGCGCTGCGTCCACAAGACCCCCCGACAGTTTCTCCCAATGCGTATGTCAGAATACTGCGCCACGGAAAAAAACGCACGCGACAAGAGCTACCCCCTGTTCTGCGAATTATGGCACCAACCCAGAACATCCAACAACATCGGGTTGTCCTCTAGATGCTTGGTCATCGAGACTTGTACTTCAATATGGCCTTCCTAAAATACACCACACCCTGACACACTCCGCTCCTATAACCAATACACAAATTTACCCCTCACACACAAACGCTGATATCCTCCCTGCACGGTGGGAGCGAACCGAATGCCTCCTATCTGTGTATGTACGTAGTCCAGGGATCGAACGTCCATTGCAGCACCAAGATGTGGTACATCAACAACTCGTCCGTGTCTCCCCTACCGCTCATGTACCCGTACTTTTTCTTGAGGGACAGGTGTGGCCATCCTGGTACTTTACCCCGATCGCAAACTAGCTCATCCGTACGTGAAACATTGCGGTGAATGGGGGGCTGTGGTTTACCGGTGTTACTTGGTATCTGCAAAATTCAAAAGTCTTGCTTTGCTCCAATCTCAACGGATTGTGAAGTGGGAATTTGCAAGGCCCTCCGCACGTCTGAGTCGAAGAACGAAGGGATATTCTTGGCAACTAAGCTTGGTCCTGAGGGTCGTTTGACTCTGTTTCTCGGTACAGGAGGAATAAACCGTCCGACTTTCCAGCGTTGAGTGCACCACACGAAACCTGCCATCTACCGTCGAGGCTTCGTTTCGCAAGGGACACAAACTCACGTGCGTCCTCCTCTAGGATACTATTTTTTCCAGTTGAGCTCAAAAAAAATGTTTTGGAGTGTGAAGCGTTCCTAACTTGTGTTCGAAAATTGGTGGCATGCTTATCCCTGAAAACCATCGGCCATCGGCCTGCCTGCTTTGTCGCATGAATCGGGCCCGTTGAAAGAATCATCACCAAAACGTGAGCGGGAAATTGCCAACACAGCTGCAGGACAATGCTGAAAGGCGACCATTCGTTTCAGAACCAAAAAACCACGAGGGACGAATGGACTTGAACCCTTACGATCAGCCTCAACCTCTACTCTCCGTTGTCCTCACTGGCACCATCGTTGGTGGCGGTGGTAGCGGTGGAGGTAGCGCTGTTGTTGCCGTCGTTGTCATCCTCTTTGTTGTTGTCGTTGTTGTTGTCCTCCTGGTCGGTGTTGTTGTTCTCCTGGTCGGTGATGTTGTCCTCCTGGTCGTTGTTGTTGTCCTCATGGTCGGTGTTGATGTTTTCTTCTTTGTTGCTGCTGGTATCATCGTTGCCGGTGGTGTCGTTGTCGTTGTCGTTGTCGTTGCCGATGTCGGTGTCGTTGTCGTCGTTGTCGGAAGTGTCGTTGTCGGCGTTGTCGTTGTCGTCGCTTAGGTTTTTGTTGTCGTTGTCGCCGTTGTGGTCGATGTTGTTGCCGCCGTCGTTGACTATGTCACCGCGGTTGTCGTTGCTGGTGATTTGGGCGTTGTCGGATTTGGTAATCCGGGTGGTCCTTCCGCGGGTGTTGGGCCTTGCGCACCAGTCTCGCTGCCACCCGAAAAGGTGCGAAAATCGTAGCGAGAGAGGCAGGATCGAAGAAATATCACGATGTGTTGATCCCTCTTCTGGGCGTCGATATTTTCGGCTCGAGTTTGTGGTAGTAGTCGTCTTACTGTAGTGGACAATCGAGCAATACACAACAAAAATTTGACGGTACTGTAGGCCAAACATCGATATCGTGTTATTTCCTATGCTTGGAAGTCAAGACATGCACTCAGGTTGTACCCGCTCTCCATTGTTGGATGTCTCACGATATACTCAGTCAAAATCGCGCCAATATCGCACTTGATAGTGTAAGAGTATTTGTAGTCTCGTATTGTATGTCTTGCGCGGCGAAATCTCAACATTTGTTGGGGAGGAATCTACGTGTTAAACGAAGGTTCATGAAGCATCATGGCAACTCACCTGGTGACGGCTTTCCTCGTCGGCGACGACCGTTTCCATCAGGGCAATGTACACCTGGTCGTCCTCGTCTTGGCCTTGGCCAACCTTAAAGCCGCTTCTGCACACCCAACAGGAACGAAAACAGACGGAGTCAAGACATCGCTACCGAAAATCGACCAACAAGCGTGAGCAACAAGCCCTCCGATGCAGAGCGCAGGGGTCGGATGGTCTCTGCTTCGCGGTGTAGAGTTATAGAAAATATACCGTAGCCCCAAAGAAGCCCTGGGAAGAAAACATCAAGGGAAAAAAAACTTCGAGCAAACTACAGCGACCGAATTGCACCAATCGTGTAGCGGTCAGGCGGTCATTCGCAAGATTTGGACAAGAACATTGCGGGTTGTCCTTGATATCTGGCCGGCAGAGACGCTACAGCAAGGAAGTCTTAGACTATTGGCATGTGAGCGGCCCAAAAAAAGCGGGCAACAGATCAAGGTGTGAAGGAGCATGGAGAATCATGGGAAACGCAAGGGGGGGATCGTATGTATCAACCGTACCGTTGAATCCCCGTTGACATGCGTCAGTGGCACTGAGGTGATTGTCCCGGAATCTCAGTCGCGTGCAAATACACCGAATTCGGGGGGGGGGGGCTGCGGCG